TACGTAGAATGATATTCCTCACTGATCAGTTGTATTTTCCGTGCAAAAGCCTATCGGGAATCTTTTTGTCAATATACTATGAAGTTCGGCGCGTATTTTGCGCTTGAAGACTTATGGTGACTTATTCTGCTTACTGAATCTTAGCAAAGACGTTTTTTGCAATTACTTTTCTTAAAGGCCGTATTTCCACGTGCTGGCATCGCAACGACCTCGACGACCTCATTCAGGCCGCCTGGTCTGCCCTCACGGTCTCTGCTAGTGACGCAAAGTTTCGAGAATCTGCCACGCAGCATTTATGGACGGCCGGCACCATCTCTGCCGCCGGTTGCCCCCAGGTCCAATAACCTACGACATTCCCTGCGACCTACAGATTTGCACCAGCCAGGACTGGAGACATTGGCTCCCGCTTTTGTCTACGGGCAGGTGAGTGGTCAACCCCTGTTCAGACCTCCAGTAGGACGAAGCCTGAGTAAAATGCAATTATTGCACGATTTCATCGTAATTATTAGGCGCTTGTCGATGCATCGCAGTTGTCAAGGTGCCCGAGAAGCTGTTGATTTGACTGTAGTAGACAATTTTCCGGAAATAACTTAATAAAGTGCATCTAAATTTATTAAGACACGTAGCACATTTACTGATCGAAGGTTCTATTTTGGAAATTTTGCATTCACTTTACGTTAACAAACAATAGCGAAAATGCCCGAGCACAATACTAACTTGAAAGATATAAAAGTGGGCCTGCAGACAATTAGGTTAATTCAACAAGAGAATAGGCAAAGTATGGAGACTATCTGAAACAGATTCCATGGTAGATGCTCGCTGTCATGTCATAATGAAATGTCCTGCACTTTCTACGTTGCAATTAAAAACATGCAGTTGCCTGCTTTCATCATCTCATTAACGACGCAAGCAAGCACTAATTCGCCCGTAGTTTTTCTAACGGATATTTGTGCTTTATCAAGCAAATGTGTAAATTAAATATCGATGGTTCTGATAAACGACGTTATCAGACGTATCAAACTCATCGTACATATATGATTTTTATTTAAGTTATTGTCTATTTTTGGGCTGGCACAGTGCAATTCTTTTTGAGACATGTCCAGGTTTCCAACGCAGAATTATACTTGGATACCCACCATCTCTTTTGCAATAAGCAGGATTATTAACACTATATTTTTGGCACAACACGTGATTTGCATATTTTTTTCTACGAAACCGTCTGAGAAAATTTAAATTCAGTCTGATTGCTTGCAAGCTGAGGTAATATCCGCTGTTAGCACACTTGGAAGACGCGCTGTCGAAGACCGAGTCTAGACAGGGGCACGCTTCTGGAAGATGTATGGTGTTACTGTGTCTAGCTAAATCCAATTTCTGACAGAGCTATTTTCCATATTTTCTTATATTTTGTAAAAAATAAAGTCTACTATGACAGCTTGAATTTCTGCGACTATGCACTCATGGCCACTAAATGTGTCATGCAAAGCAGGCAAAAGTTTGTTTAAACCAAATGTGACCGGAATTGCAGATTGGAAATAGAGGACTATGGGCAATTTGCATAGGTGGCCAACGACAGAAAGTTCGATATGAAATCAGAGGTCAACTATTTTGCCCTGTCCGACAAAACAGTTTTTCTATTCGGACAAAAAATTCACTCTTATGCTATTCAGTAATTTATTTTTAAGTAAACATGGCTTAAAGTTCCACCGTCTTAAAATTGAGCTGTTGTGTGGCTTGTTCAAATAGGGTCCATATGCCTCGTTGACTAAATTTCCATTTCAGTCCATTAGCAGATAAACTGCAGCAGTATTTTAAGTATTGCATACAAATTTTAAAGGAGACTCAAGCCACATTTAATAAATCCCATGTAATTTAGTGGTTAAATAGCGTCACAGCTCAAACTTGTCCCAATAGAGATATTATTTGTTTGTGGATACTTTTGTGTAACGTTAAGAATTTAATGTTATGTGGCAATATTATTCGAAGTGAACGAGGGATAGTGGCAGAAATCGCAGATTGTGCAATGCAGACGAGCGACGTTTAGGGGTTCGCTTGTTGACTGGCGCGATACAGCTGACAAGCAGTCATGGGTGCGATACACGAATAAGTAAATAACCTTCCTCTTGAAAAGTCACCTAAAATTCTAAAACGCGTTTTTGAGTTATCTAGTTGGTTTGTCATACAAATTTGTAGCATTATGCAACGATATCTAAGTCACGACCGGATGCCGGCCTTTGAATGAGCTAATTACCGGCTGCCTGCAAAACAGCGCCCCTTAAAAGGTGACTAATTAAGTAGTATGTGCCCTTCCCAGTGGTTGTCGGTATCTAAATGAATAAAAAGATATTTTACAGAAAGTGTACACAAAAATATCCTTATGCATTTTCAAACTTTATACTCGTCTTAGTCAGAGCTGACGTTGACTGTAATGAGTTAGGTTTGGAAACTTGTAGGTGGAGCACCCGAAAATAAGGTGGGGAACCAAACTTTCATTCGTTCGTCCTATGAATGATCAAAAATCACAGTTTAATTGGACCTCCGCTTCTCTCTTGTTTTTATCCAGAAGATAGCCCAACGACCCGCCAAGTATAACGTCTACTTAAAGTATCATTTAATCTAATCGACTTCATCAAAGGCAAACTTATAACTTTCTGCATTTCCGCTACATTAAAGAGTAGCAAATATGGATGATTTGTCAATTGAGAAGTTGCAGTTCTTACGAGGAAAAGGTACAATAAAAATTAGGTTTCTTTTAAATTACGTTTTTTCGCATCTTTAGAATCGCCGCCATGATACGACATTCCGCGCAAGTAAAATGTCAGTTAAGTTATACTGGGCAGTGACATACATCTTCAATACCCCCAAAATATGATCATTCCTTATGAGTTTTCGCATAATTGACGGAAACCACGAAAAACAAAGGTACAAGCACCTCAAAGGAACACTTAAATAGAAGATCTTCAGTGCAAGTTTTAGATTTTTCGATCTACGTAGTTAGGCGAAAAAAACTAAAAAAGCTATCCGGGACAACCTCCGGAATTAACTTGACCCAACTGTGAAAACCTGGAGGCCTCGGTGGGATTCAATCACAGCAAGCAAGGGAAAGGGTAGATTACAGTCAACGCCCTAGCCAACTGAGCTACGAGGCCCCTAGTGGTAGCCGTGAGTTTACTTCCACCAAGGCCGACGAGTTTTTCACAGTTGGGTCAAATGAATTATTAAAATCTGCCAAAACCCCGTACTAACCTCCGAAATCTTGTCCGCTATCGTTTGGCGTTTATGTAACTGCAATTGTATGGTTTGTCTAGCTAGAATAAACCCAGTAAGTAGTAAGTCGTTAATATCAACAGATTAGAGTTCAAAGGCGATAATCGAGCAATATCTAGATTTTTGTAACTTGTTGCTTGACCCAACTGTGAAAAATCCGCAGCCTCGGTTGGACTTGAACCCACACAGCAGGGAAGGCTTCTGCGCAGCCAAAGCTCTACCATTTGAGCTACGAGGCTCACCGTGCGCCGTGAATTTAACCACGCTTGAGTCGATTTGTTTGCCCAGCTTTACTGCACGTATGGAACCCACCAGCACGGCAGTCAGCTAACTGCGTCCGTATTGGTGGATTCCATACGCGCAATAAAGCTGGGCAAACCAATTGACCCAAGCGTGATTAAATTGTGCAACTTTATTTTTGGAGCAATAAGAAATATGTGTTGTGGCACTTTTACCTCAGTGCCGGTGCAATCAGCAATAGAAGGGTTTCTGATCGAAACCGAGCTAACTATTTACGGCAAGTGCGTAAAAACGGACTGTTTATATTTTACATCTATTCAAATTGTGATTTACCCACCGCTCTTTCTGCATGCTGACCGTCTCGTCGTTTACTTACTCTGCTGTATTCCCGCTATTCCAGCCGATGTCACAGAGGTTACCCTACGGTGGCCAACCAAATTTCTTCCAACAAACAGCGCATCTCCCAGGAGCCACTGCCTTCCCTCCTGAGCGCAGGACAGTTGGGGGTCGTCTTTTTAATGGCTACAGTTATCCCTGTGAACTGAACAACCTATCATCCTCTGGAGGCGTCAAGCCACTTGACGCCCCCGTTTCCCCACCGGTTCCGCCACATTCCACTCCAGCCGTCTCCAGCACGCAGAGATTTTTCTCCGAGGCAGAACTCCGTGAGGCCTCCGGCGCTACGGCAGATCGTCTGCAGGACTCGAAACCCTACTCCTCAGCCTCTACATCTGCTCTGCCTAAACCGAGTCAATTCTATCGTTCAATGGGCTACTTGGCGGCACCCACAGCAGCTTTCCATGGTTCGGCACCGTATATGGCGCCAGCAACGCCATGGCCGGGGTCCACAAACTTTCAGGTAGCCGAACATGTCGATTGCTAGCGTTTGCTTATGGCGTGCGGTTCTACTACACCGAATTATTGCACTGTACGACCGTGTCTCATGCTGTTTCTGACAAGGGGAGGGCTAGAGCCTAAATTCGAAGCAGCAGGTGATTAAAGTTTCCTGCTCCAGCGATCGCTTCTACTTCATCCCAAGAACTCCTTGGAACTCACATTTTCAAATTTATCGGCGTACTTCACCGTGTGCGTTACTACTTACCGTCTCTGTAAAACTAGAACGCCACAACAAAAAGTAAAAACTAAGTTGCTCAGACATATTTTCTCTTTCTTGCTTCAGATATCTAAATAGTATTTCGTCAACTAATGCATGATCGTGCAATTTCTTGGTGTTTTGTGTCATCGTTCTTTTAAAAGCGTTTTTCCCTGGTGAAAATTTAAAGATTGTATTAACGGCAGAAGTTAATGGATCCATAAATTTTGATAGTGCTCATCAGCTGCTTCCTCTCGTCACCTAACGTGAGTAACCTATGAAAAAATACAAAGATTGCATTCGTACAGAAAAGGTCAGTAGGGTCATAGAACCTGGTCACAAAGGCTAATCAATAAAGTGGCCATGCTAAAACACCGTGGAAAGTCAGATTGAAAAAAGAAGTTTAAAGTGGAAAGGTAGGCAGGGAATGTGTGAATCAGGGAGCCGGATGTTACCAGCGCAAAGTTAGGTTCACCACATGTTTACATAGTTTGGGTTTTGACCTATCGGACTATCGCTATCGGGCTGCCGCCAGATAGCGCAAGGTAACAGTTGTTTGCGCCCGAAAAAGTACTCGGAAGGATGTCTTGGGATACACAAAATGACCCGTATCTCTTTTTGGCAAAATGAACCACTTTTTATTGCACGATTTCATCAAATGGATTTTCTGACCACGGCAAGGGGGATAAATTTAAAGTGTTTTCTAACTTCCGTTTCCGGTATTGAACTGTTGTCATAGTTGGTGGCGTACGACTGAAATGTTGTTGAACTATTTAGTAGGCTTTGGCTTAACTCCAATACACTACCGCATGTCTAAATATAAGCCATATCGGCAGTTGACAATTCAGTGTCAACAGCTGCATCCGTTATAACGTAATAATGAAATCCTATTTATATACAAAAAAGGAATTATCATAAGGTAAATTAAAAAGCAATCAAACAATAGTTCGCACCTGAAATAATTATGCATATAAATGAGAGAATTCTTCCTGTCTGATGTATATAGAGACGAAGAATCATCAATTGTACGGTATATCCTGAACAAACTCGTAAGCCTTTGTTTGGTAAGCGCATGAGGCGTGCACCGCTTTCGTTTGAACTCTGAGAAATGGAATGTTGAAGTAAAAAGTTTGCCAAATATTGGATTTCGTTCCTCTACCATCTGCCTCCACGATTTTAACATAAGCACTCCGCAAATAAAATACCTCAAGCACTAAGCCGGCAATGAGAGATAAGTGAACACTTGCACTTCAATACGCCCAAAAAGTGATTTAGATCAAAAACGAGACGTTTTCTGCTGCTCGACAATAAATTTTTGTATGGTTTTCAGACGTGACTTTTTTCTCACATTTTCTTGATAATAGTCTGTTCATAGTCGGATATCGCTGAAAGTGGCTTTGAATTTCTTGCAGTGCAATAAGGGTAATTAACATTATTCAGTGCCAACTCCCCATATTGCCGTGATGCCAATAAATCAGTGGAGAATATGAATGAATGTTAGGATTCCTCGTGCGCAGCAGAAGGTCAGTGCCCTTATGTGCCTCCGTTATCCTGTAATTAACGTTTTGCGCACGTTATAAATGAGTTTGTTCATCCTTCTCTGTTCATGGATTTCCCTACTACGGAGAGGCACCCGACCATCCTAAGTTGGAAGTTAGTACGTAGGTAACGTAACAACGGATGACAAGTTTATTTTTTGATGAAGTGTTTAAGGGGACTCACTACTTTGGCTAGTAGTGTTTGAATAACGCCCACTGTGCCGCCCATGCCGATCGTGGGCACATTTGAAAGCAAGCTTCAACGTCTTTGGTATTTCCGTTCTGTCAGTGTTCAGTGCGCAAAATCGATGTTGGAGTACCTGTGTGTTGAAGATTGTAATAGCAGAAAAAATCTATCCTTACCAGCCACAATGGTAGAGAGGTCTGACTCCTCGAAGGACGTTTGGTGCAGCAATCGGCCGTGAAAACTTAGTTATTCAGTCACCTCATCAGCAACTAGGGTTCTGAAAACCCTGTCGGCGGATAGTAACAAACTTCCTACTACAAACACTCCACGGACAAAAGGCTCCATGAAACGGCCAAGAATCGGCCAAAAGTCACACTTACTTTTCGGATATAACGGTAGTCCAGCAATAGCTACGTATATTACTATCTTATTTCCTAAAATAGGCATGGAAGATTGACTTATCTGCTTACTTAAACTTTCAACAAGTTCCATGTGGACATACTCACCGTTGCACATTGCCGTTACATTTGTCCGATTGCTTCCCCTTCGCAGAAGCGCACGTCCATCACCTGGTAGGTCGGGGGCAACACGCTTCAACATTTTGAGGAGTTTTGTCAGATGTTTTATCGGGGTGTTGATGTCTATTGCCCAAGACTGTAAAGCATATTTCAGACTCTGCTCTTGCTCCATCGCTAGGTTACTTGTTGACTGTTCGGTTACTTATTCGGACGCCGAACTGCTCTAAATACTGCCTTCCTCCCATTATGACGTGCTTCAGTCTGAACCTTCAGATGAAGAACCGCAAGAAGAGTCAACACATTCTGACAGTGTCGTCATTTCCCTTGTTTCCTGCTCAGTTTGACGTAAATCCTCATGATAACCGCGCAAGGCACGTCGTTGTAATGTTCTCTTTGATGGCGGCTTCCACATACTGCAGAAAACAACAAAAGATGGTAAGATTACCGGATTTGTAGTAACAGTAACGAGAGCTCGCTTTAGGATAGAATAAAGTCAAAGTCTTGTGGTTTACCAGAAAATCGTTCATGAGGGCAACAGGACGGGGCGAAATTAAAACGTAAGTAATATTTACAATCGCAAACAGCAAGACAACATGCCGATGGTGCAGTTTGTTAGAACGAATGTGACTTCGGTGACTAAAAACGCGGGATCGTGTTTCAGGTGCTGTAAAAGTGAATTTGAGTGGGGCTGGTGGACAGCAACTTATAATATCGAAATGACAATCTGAGTCAGCTTTTTTTCTTTTTCGGTCACTCATGTTGTGTATAATATTCATCGCTATCTAGTTGTTGACGGCGCTCTAGAACGCGCCTCCAAGTGCAACGTGACAAGCTCCTCCGAGACCCTATTCGTGGACGCACTTCCAGCATTGTGTAGTGTCCCCACCTTCTGAGCGAGATAAGCCCTTCCATGTTCAATTCTGATTCAACTGTTCGGAGGTTTCTTCTTAACATCGTCTGTTCCAGCGTACCATTAGCTGTCTGCTGGTTATACTTTGAAATAGGATGCATAGGTCGCATTTTTAATGCATTGGCGTTCCGCTATGTATGCGTCAACCGCCGATGGAAGTGCGCGTTAAATAGTTGCATGAAACAGTTGCCACAAAAGGTCTAAAAGACCTATTTGAGTCAGCCTTGGTCACTTTAAAGTTCGCAAGCGACAGCCGGGTGCCGTTTGTGCCTGCATTTTCGCTTCAAGTGGACTGTTTACTTGATAATTGTCTTTATTGAAGGTACGCTCCGTAAACGTGCACTGCCACATAAAACATACAGTTCAAATCGCTATGAGAAAATAAGTAAACTCGATCAATTTTCAGCACATATTTTGCCGCCTGTTCAAGATATGCCAATATAAGCGAACATGCGAGTCCTAGGATGTAATTGGGAGCAAGCCGATGTGATCGCTGTGAGGAGCATTTTATCCGCCTACCTTTCGAAATCCGTCATGGATATATCATCACAGACAATAGCAGAAACAGATAATTCATGGCCAGGGAGTTGTAGTATTCATGAGATATAGTCGCTATGTTATTGAATGCTTATGACAATTAACGGCTCCCCTATCGAAGATAATTACCCGCTTATGCGTTAATGGCTTGATGACCGGCGTGCGGGCGTGACCTGTTGAACTTGTATCGTGCGTGGTGGAATTGGATGTGATGATTGTTCGGCCAACTGGCTTCCTGACGCCGGCTTTAGACGACGCGTTGGCCTGTGCGTTCCCCGAGTGGCGAATCGCCTTGGCCAAAGCCAGCCTTAGCACCGAAAATGTATTAGGCAGGTCCATGCAGTCGTTTATAGACTGGAGGGCCCGTGAACTGCAGCTCACGTAACTCGCGACTTACACGATTGTCCCCTCTCGCGAGAATTTCGACCTCATCAAATTTGAATGTGTGGCCGAGTTTCGTTGAATGAGCCGCAACATGAGATTCGGTATCATTTTTCTGCACTGCTACCGCGTGTTCAGCAATTCGCGTCTTGAGTAGTCTTCCAGTTTCGCCGACATTGTGGCTTTTTCTGCAACTGCACCAGATCCTATAGACGAATCCAGATGTTTTTTTTGCCGTGGCGATCGGTCTTTGGGTTTCATTATGTAAGGCCTTATGGTTGCCTCCGGCCTATGTGTGACTCCAATTCCAAGTGGTGCGAGAAGGCGGCCGACGGCGTCCGAGAAGTTTTTGATGTACGGAATAGTTCGCCAACGTTGGGTTCGCTGCGATTTTGTTGCTCATCTCGTTTGCGCAGGCAGCCATTTCTTCTGACCCCCCCCCCATCGGAGATATTTTATTTCTGCAACTTCGTCTTCCGCTTCACTACAGTGTGTCTCAACACGTCCATCAAGTGCCCTTACTCAGTTGCGTTTGTGGCTGAGTGGGTGGCTGCTGCTGAAGTTCAATACTTGCATCGTATTTGTCGCTTTTCTGAACAGGAAAGGCTCAGCTTGGCCAAAACAATTCGTCACTTGGGGAACACAGGCTAATGTGCCGTCTAAAGCCAGCGCCGGGAAGCCAGTTTGCCGAAAAATCATCACATCCAATTTCATTGCGCATGATGCAAGTTGAACAGGTCACAGCCCGCACGCCGTTCATCAAGCAATTAACGCACATTAGGGTAATTATCCTCGACAGGGAGCCGTTAATTGTCATAAGTATGCAATAACATAGTGACTGTATCCCATGCATATTGCAACTGCCTAGATAGGAATGATCTGTTTTGGTTCTCGTCTCTGATGCACGGATTTCCAAATGTCAGGCGAATAAATTCTTCTTGCAGTGATCACGTCGGTGTCTCCTCTGTTCGAAATATCCCTGATAGCCCTCGGCTGCTGCAATACCGAGAATTAGCGGCACAGCATTTCCTGTGGTGGACAGACGGTGGTGCTGTGAAATGTGGAAGACTTTTCAAATCCCCTATTTTAATTAAACAAACCGGGACTTAAAAAACTTTGTGTGGGCGTTTTTTTCAAATGTTAAATGAAGTATTTATTTCAGCACGCTGAGCGCTAAATTTAGAAGCAAAATTCGTTCTCAAACGTCAGTGTATAACAAAACTCCCGTTCCTTCCGGCATTCTCTTTCACTAAAGCTGTCGTCTAAGACTCAGCACAGAACGGACTCGTTAGTGCATTACAAAATTTTCCAATCTGTAAAACTTTCAGCAATGTCTTTGAGGGACATATGGTACTCAGATAACTGCCACCAATACCACTAAGGTAAACATTTCTTCACACTTCATTTGCAATCACAGATTTAGCAAGCCATAATGTGAGTATTTTGAGTGTTGATGATGTTCTTTATTTCTTTAGCGTCTCCTTCTTCCATTGTGTCCCGTCGTTTACTATCGATTTAGGACAGTTTCACCATGCAACCACCAGACAGTTTTGCAGCCCCTTCTGCCACTGAAAACGACATGGACAAAGGTCACCAGCCTATTTTTACGGCATCGACTGTGACAATCCCATGCTCCTATCAGCTTTTCCACTGACATTTCCAAACTTCCGGCGGCGGCTCCAAGGAGGAGTGAAGAGGACAAAGCGAAGCATAAAGTTCACACAAACAGACTTCCCCCAACTTTAACCGAAAGCGTGGGAGGAAAAGAGGACGTATGACGATGCTCTGTCAGGAGTTTTTCTCCTCGTTTTCTAAAAAAATCTTTTTGTTCTTGACAGTAACAATGTCAATTTTCGATATCGGAACAAACAAGACTACAAAGGTCTCTTGCCTCCTTCTCTACAACGGTTTTTGTTTTTACTTCACAGCTCGAATCTCGTTAGTAATTGCTTTAGGTGGTAGTATGTACTAGACACGTGTCTGGGCCTTTTAGCAAGTATCTAGGTTGTTAGTATGGTAAGTTACAACGTCAATTTGTACTAGGCACTCAATTCGCGATTTTCAGTGACTCTTTTAAACATTCCAAATGACATATTGTGGACCCAAAGTCTCTGTGTCGTTTGGGGTACTGAAAAACTTGCGACCTGTTCTGGAGAGCCGTCGATGTCCTTAGCATCTTCCATTAACATCACAACCTACAAGTACAAAAAACATTTTAGTAAGTTGCATCTGGTCATCACAAACTTAAATATATTTAACCTCTGTATTCCCGAACAGATCCCCTACTGGGCGTCCTGCATGAACTACCCTTACATGATGATGCCGAGTTACCATACCTCAGCAACTCCCAGTCTCGGATTTCCACAAATGGGTCTCGGTTTCGGCAGTGTTACCAACCCTCAGGCCGGTCTTCAGGCCGTTCCACTGGCCCAGGGTCTGCCCTGTGCTCCTGTCAGTATGCCGGTGCTGAGCGGCGGTGACGATTTCTACCTAACTGGTGGTGGAGAGACCGAGGAGATACCATCGGGTCTGATGGATTATGTAAACTACCCCTACCCCGTCAAGCAGACCTCACAAGTGCAGTCATGTCAGCAACTTCCACATCCTAATTATCCGCAGCAAAAATATCCGCCACAGTACAATCCCTGGG